AATCTGCTTTTGGTGCAGTCCAAATAAAAATTACAAATGTTTTTCTTCTTTTTATGGAGACTTTTTTTCTTGTGTGAAGATCTTTAACTCCACTGAATTACTCATTGAACGGACCAATCACAATAGCTAATTTCATCAGTGCTGTATTCAGTTTATCCAGTGTGGTACTGAGTCACAGTCAGATTACTGCTTTTGTCCAGGGGTGGATCAAAAAGGGTGGCATGGGGTGGCTTGTGCCACCCTAAAATGATCTCTTGCCACCCATAGTGCCACCCTAGTTTTGCATATGACAGTGTTGTTTATTAACAGATAGCATTAACACTTTGAGCCTGGCTATTCTAAAACTGAATACATTGCATAGTGTTCCCCCCCACCATTAGCACCATAGCGCAAGCAATTTTAAAAATTTAACCATGTAACAATTAGATTTTTGTCTAACAAAAAACAGTGAAACTTAAGTTAGACTTGTGTGTGTAAATGTGGTGCAGCAATATATTTATAAATATATTTATTATAAAGGTTATACAGTACATAAAATCACGTTTTAAGTAACTGAAATGTTTAATCATGTGGGCTACAGAAAATAATTAAGACTATATTTATATGAAACGTGTATACTTACTGCATTTGGATCTGCATATGTGTTGTTTATTTTGGGTTTTTTTTTTAAAAAAAGTTTTGATTTTGCCACCCCATTAGATTTCCATGCCACCCTAAGAATATTTTTCTTGGTCCGCCCCTGCTTTTGTCAGATAGAAACAGCATTGTATGTTAAATACAATTTCTGTGTTGTTATTTGAGGTCAAATGCAATAAACTTGGTAAATATGATATTTTGCTTGTTTAGTTTCACATGAAATCTGACACTATGAAATAATTTTGAAAAAGGCAGCTATATTCTATTTATCTGCTTTGGCTTTGAGCTAATCCTCAAAATAAGAAAATAATAATCAGTCAGCCTTGTTTATTCTATCTAAAGCTTTGTTAAATATTTTTTAGTATATCCACTTTGACCTGCACTCTGAAGTGTTTTGTGTGGAAAGTATAATCGTTAATATTTTGCCCTTTGACCCATTTTATTTGAAATATTATTTTTGAAGAGTACCATTATTATGATTTACTCAGTAATCTTCAGTTAATCAGTTTATTAGACCAGTTCAGCCAAAGGAAAGTTATCTCATAGTAAACATTAAACATGGGAATATCACACATATCGTACTAAAACATTATTTTTGGTCACATAGACGCTTCATATACTTTAGAAATTTACACATTTGTCTCACAACACAGGTTGTTTCGAGAGCAAATGATCAGTATTTGTCTAAGATGTGTGTGTGTGCTGATATTGTCCCAAGAGTTTCTACATAAAGCTCTGAGTATAGTTTGAGACGGAGAGCACCTGCGCCCCCTGAAGGCCTTTCTGTGTATGGCACCTTTGTTCAAGT